AGCGGGAACCGGTCTGTATGTGGGATCCGAACCCTCGGCGGGAGCGTCGCCACACTCCCAAGCAGCGCACTGTAGCAGTGCGCCACCGGGCCGGCCCAACAGTTTTTAATTTTGATGAAGTCTAGTTTATCAGGTTTTTTTTGGTGACTTGTTCTTTATGTGCATATCTAAGAAACTATTGCCTAATCCAGAGTTTTGAAGATTTACTTCAGTGCTTTCTTTTAAGAGTTATACGGCTTAGCTCTTACATTTAGGTCTGATTTATTTTGAGTTAATTTTTGTGTATGTTCTGAGTTAAGGGCTCAACTTCATTCATTTGCATATGGAAATCCAGTTATCCAAGTACCATTTCCTGTAAAAAAATCTATTCTTTCCAAACTGAATTGTCTTGCTACCTTCAAAAATCAGTTTATCATAAATATTTGGGTTTATTTCTGGGCTCTTAATTCTATTCCACTGATCTGTATATATGTCTGTTGTTATGCTGCGTATGACACAGTCTCCATTACTGTAGCTTTGTAGTAACTTTCCTACTCATTATTTAGATTTACGTCAGAGATTCTTAATCATGCTCTCCTTTATGCTTTCAAGGTCATTGTGTGTGTGTGTGTGTGTGTGTGTGTGTGTGTGTGTGTGTGTGTTTTGAATTAAGGAATTGTAGCTCTGATGTGCTGGGCTAGGTATGACAGCACAGATATCCATCACAGGTGGGGAGTACAGGGGTTGTGCATTGTTCAGAAAGATTTACAGTGGCCTTTCTTTCAGCTTTCATTGGGGGAAGCGAGTGCCTCATAACAGTGTTAAGGGGTAGGAAACTTACTTTGTAAGTCTATTCTTCAAAGTATCTGAAGATTTGGGGTTTGGGGCAAAGAGAGAGATTAGAAAGGTAAGAGTGTATGATAGAATCAGCCAGTAGACTGAGAAGTGGAGTCAGCAAAGCTGGGATGAAATTTTGGTTCCTCCATGATCTGTTTGATGTCTTTTGGCAAATCATTTAATTTACTTGATTTTAAACCTTATTCATTCCTCTTTTGTTGCCCTTTTCTTCTCATATTTCGCTTTGTCAGTGTACATCTTAAAATGTGACTTCCAAAACTGGATACAATACTTGAGATCCTGTTTGACAGGCACAGAAGGTTATCTAATTGTTCTGGACCTATATTCCGATTAATGCCATCTAAGAGCTATGCTGTAGGCTATTCTTTTTTTTTCTTTTGACAGCCACATCACATTTGATTTATCCTGCTCTCCATTCTGGAACACTCATTTTTCCTCATTTCGTGTTCTTTAAAGATTTAATTAGCAGTGAAAACGGTTTACTTAGCAATAGTATATGTTGTTTTTAAAGACCATATTGTCTTTGAAATCATAAAAATGTTGTGCAGGTCAGGGTTGAGAATATAGCTTTGTAGCAAGCCAAGAGAAGCATCTCTCTAAGGGTCTTTCATATTAATGAATATACTTTAGGGACCCAGCTTTTCAGCTTCCTGAGACAAAAAGTCTCCCCCATGGGGTGTCTATTTAGGTCTGAGTCTACCCCTTTTCCTCGTTTTCCTGGCTTAGCCTTTTCCTCTACTCTGTAATTCTGTTTCTTTTCTTCATGCTTCTGCTTACAGTTTTGGCCTCATCAGGTATATAAGCTTTCCATCCCATCTCACAATCTCACTGTGCCCTAGCTATATATACCTCAGGGCTTCTTTCTCCAAGTCTTTTCAGCTTCTACTTCCAATGTTATCTCAGTTTATCAAACTAGGTTTCTGGTTGAGAGAGTCTGATTAGTCGGGCACCTTCTTTCACACCAGGCACATCACTCGTTCTTGGCCATTCAATGGGTGGCAGTCCTTGGGTCAGGGGCCTGCCTCTGACCACCTCACCAAGTCTGGTCAATCAGCATCAAGGGGTCCACATTGCACTTTTAAAAGGCTCTCTGAGGGTGGGGGGATGGGAGGCAGTTTGATTTATTATGGCTGTGACTTTGGCAGGTACTGGGACTGACAAATCCAGTATGAACTCATATGAAACATGCAATAAGGTTGGATTCTGGTTTGGCTTGGTTGTACATGTTTTGGTGGGGGATGGAGATTATTTTGATTTAGTACATGATTATGAGTTTTGGTGGGCATTCAGGTCGAAAAGTCTAGCTGGAAAGGTGGACCCAGAGGTCAGGAGAATGTATGTTAGAGTAACTTGAGTACTATCCATATAGAGGCTTTGAGCCCTAAAGCTATGTGAGATCACTGGGGAAGGAAGTACAGGGAGAGGGGAGAAGGCCAAGGACAACTCAAGGTGGGAAGAGAAAAAGCTACTGTGGAAGAGAAAAGAGAAGCTCTACTACAGGAAGGATCAGCATGTGACCACCAGCATATTCACAACACAATATGTTGTTTTTAAAGGAGACAGATAATAAAATGAATCAAAAAAATTTTTTTAATGACTCTAGAATTTTGAGTATAGTTTTGCACTAATAATCTTAACATACTGAATGACTCTTTGTCTATCCCTATCCCAAACCCCTTCTCTGTAGGTAGAAGAAGAAATCCAAACCCTGTCTCAAGTGTTAGCAGCAAAAGAGAAGCATCTAGCAGAGATCAAGCGGAAACTTGGGATCAATTCACTACAGGAACTAAAACAGAATATTGCCAAAGGATGGCAAGATGTGACAGCAACATCTGCGTATGTCCCCTTGATCATACATTTTTCCAGAGAATGTAAAGGACAGTTTTGCTTCTTTTTGTATGGGAAGGGGAAGAGAAATGGGATGAGGATGCTTCTGCAGCCTTTCTTTGAACAATACAGAATACTTTCTTTCCAGTTCTGAAGTGTACCTGACTCTTTTCTAACACTGGTTTTCCAGACTGTTCTAGAGAATAGAAAATATCAGTAACCAGTCTCATGTGCGAGTTGAAGAAGTAAAATTCCTGTTCCAAAAATATTATATAGTTGGCCTTTCATATCTGTGGGTTCCATACCTGTGGATCCCACATTCATGGATTCAGTCAAGCACAGCTCTAAAATATTAAGGAAAATACCCTCAAAGATAAAAATTAACAATATAACAACAAAAAATAATACAAATTAAAAAACAGTACAGTATAATAATTATTTACATGTTATTTGGATTGTTTTAGGTAATATAAGTAATCTAGAGATGATTTAAAGTATACTGGAAGATGTATGTAGGTTATATACAAATATTGTATCAGGGTATTTTATATCAACATCCATGGATTTTGGTATCTGAGGATGGTCCTGGAACCAATCCTCTACAGATACCGAGTGATGACTGTATATTGACTTGCCAAGTACATACGTTGTGTCATTTAGTCTTCAGGATAACCCAATAGAGTGGGTGGTGAGATAACCCTAGATAGAGAGATAGGCTCAGATAAGTTAGGTTCTGAGGTCACAAACCTCTCAAAATGTGGAGTCAGGATTTGAAGTGAGGTCTGGCCAACAATGGAATCAGTCTTTTTTATCCTGCTCTCTACATATCATAAGATTCTCTGAAATGTGCTCGTGGCAGAGGATAACCCTTAAGCTTTTTGTCTTTTTGATTATGCACATTATGATATATCATTATCATAATGCAGTTTTGTTTCCAGGTATAGGGAGGAGCAAGCTTCTAGTAGCAGATTCCAAACTGTTCTCTATCTTCTGTTTTCAGTCCCATCTGCTGAGTGAGGGAGCTTAGGAGTCGTTTTACAAGCTAATCTTCAGCAGTGAGGCAGACTGCATTCCACATGATGGCACTTGGGTGCCCACTCTTTTGGCCCATTTTCTTTCCTTATAAGTTGGCTGGGGGAAAACATGCAGGAAACTGTTCTTTGACTGTATTACCATAAACTGTTTGCTCTTGGTATTTGATTTTGATGGGGTAAGTAAAAATGCCTGAGCATTCACTTCCACAATGTGGGGATATTAACCTTTTTTTGTAGGTACCATATTTTTTTGTTTGTTTTTTTGTTGTTTTGTTTTCATTTTTCCCTTCTCCAATTCCCCAGTAGCTGGGAAGAGGGAGGTGGTAAATTATACCTTTTCTTTATAGCAAATATCACACTAGTGTAATTTGAAGTCTTTTATATACTATGTTGAGAGTCCAACAAGTCCTTATTTGGTAGCTCTACAGACATGCAAAATAACAAAAAATTCTTTATGCCCATAAAATTTGTTTGGACAATAAAATACTCATGGGCTCTACCTGTCCCAACCCATTTCTTGTTTCTGGCCCCTTTTTAGGAGATGAAGTTGTAAAAAGCATCTGAGGAATTTGATTTCATTTCTCCTTTGTTTGGCTTGCGTGGAAAGGGAAGGAACAAGGGTATAATTTTTTTCAGACTCCAGCTCATTTTCATTTTTGTTCCATGACTATTTTTAGCCTGTACTCTCCTCCCTTTGGCCCTGCCTTTAACAGGCCTCTGTCTTTCCGGCTGGACCTAGGGCACTGCGGAAGATTCTGCCTGAAATGATGGTTAAGTATAAGATGATATGATACTGCTGCTCTAGTGGTTATGAAGGATTTTAGAAGTTCTTAAAAATATATTTTTTGAGAGTTCTTCAACAGGTAGTGTTTTAGTCCGTTTTGTGTTGCTATAACAGAATACCTGAGACTGGGTAATTTATAAAGAAGAGAGGTTTATTTGGCTTACGATTCTGGGACAGCTGCATCTGGCACGGGCCTCAGGCTGCTTCTGCTCATGGTGGAAAGTGGCAGGCAGCTGGCGGGTACAAGCAGATCACATGGCAAGAGGAAGCAAGAGAGAAAAAGAAGGTGCCAGGGTCTTTTTAAGCAACGAGCTCTTGCGGGAACTAATAGAGTGAGAACTCACTCATTAATCCCCCCTCCCCCAGGGAGAGCATTAATTCATTCATGAGGGATCTGCCCCCATGACTCAGTCAGTTTCCAACACTGCCACATTGGGGATCAAATTTCCACATGAGTTTTGGAGGGGACAACACATCCAAACTCCATCAGGTGGTGACCACTGCACTTGGAATAATTGATATTAGAAAAGGTTAGCTGACTTTTCGTTGCTCTCTTTGTTTATAATTTAATATAGATACAAGAAGACATCTGAAACTTTGTCCCAGGCTGGACAGAAGGCTTCAGCTGCTTTTTCATCTGTAGGCTCAGTCATCACCAAAAAGCTGGAAGACGTAAAGTATGTCCTCATTTTTCCTTGCTTATTAAGTAGCTGAGACAAATTAAAACGTTACCATGATTGCTTTTGTTTCCTGACTTCATCTCTTCTGTTTGAGTGAAGGAGGCCACTCCTTCAGACCTCTCCTGAAATGCTTGCATAAATGCTTCTAGCTTCATAGCATTCTAACTTCAAAACAGTCATCTTATGAAGCCACTTAAGTTTGTTGAAAAATTCTGGTTGTGAACTTTTGTGAAGTCTTTTTAGTCCTTGATCATACAGGGTAAGTATGTCTCTGCGGTTGCAAATTCGTGATTGTGAGCAGAGCCTGGTGTCTTACTGGGGATAAGTACAGTACAGGAGCATCGAGTGCACGCTTGGATTGAGACCTGGCTTCACTTTCTATATGTGACGTTTTTATACATGATGTAATCACAACATGCTTATTTGTGAACTGATTTGTACTAACCTGCAAGCTGTATCTGCATTCATGCCTAGGTCCAAATCTTGATTTTTGACCTGTTGTTTTTTATTTGCATTTGTATTTTAGCTTAGTCTGTAGAATTTTCCTTGCCATTTTGATAAAACCACTTCACAGCGCTTTTGTGCTACTCTCCACCCATGTGAATTAGAATAGTGCTGAAAATGACAAATATGGTTTTAAATCAGCTGTGCTTCTCTTGGCATGCAAGATTTGTGTTTTTAAAAAAATGCTCAGATTGCATGACTTTGTGTTTTTCATTTGTGGGGAAAGTAGATTTTACAACCAGAATTTTGTTGGTTGAGAGGTTTGGTCAATCAGTGTTGTATAACTTTGTACCAAAAGAACTAAATTGCTTGCTCATTATATTTGAACTGTCCTCATTCTAAGCATAATGTAATAAACTTATCTTTTTTTGAGCTATTTTGACAATTTCTTTTTACGCTAAGTTGTGTAGCACTGTAGAGCCCAGGTAAAAACATTATATAACTTTTTAAAAGTAGGTTATTTAATTGTTTTAGATTTATCAGAACTTCCTTTCTTTTTTAATGCTTACTCTGGCTTCTTACAGATTGCAAGCCTTTTCACATTCCTTTAGGTAAGGAGAGTTTGAAGCACCACTGCCGTCTAGCAGTTGTGTAAGACAAGTGTGCTAAGATTAGAATATTACGCCATGTTGGATGGTGATGTTTGTCCACTACATAATTTTTTCACATTTGCAGTATTTTTTCTCAGTGTATTCCTAATTTCAAGGGAGGGTTTCTTGTATACCATGGGTAATGGATAAATTAAAAGAACAATCTTACACTGGTTCAAAGGATGCGAAAATGATTTTGATGTTTCTTTTTTACTTTTATTACTTTTTTGTAAAAAGAAGCAGCTTTACCATGGCATGCAGAATCCCTCCCTTTTAATGTCTGACTTTGTTTGTTTTTGATGCTTTTGTTTCTTTGGTGCTTTTGTAAGGATGTTGGAATTCTTCCCCTGGGTCTCATTATGGAATTGTAATAGACTGCATATGTACTGCCTCATGTTAGTCTCTGTCTTATATGGGTTACTCTAGTCTTTTAAAATCTTGGTAAAATATACATAAGATAAAATTTACCATTGCTCTGTACTTTTTAATACTTGATTTACTAGCTTATAAGTTATTATTTCTTTACAGTAGTTATATTCTTTAACTATGCATGCAAGGCAGTTTCATGGTTTGCAAATAGAAAGCATATTAGGCCAAAAGAGAAAGCATATTAAGAAGACGTTAGCCCAAACCTGCCTTATAGAAAGAGACTTCATGATGTTGAGCAAACTTCTCTTTTCTCTCCGATGCAGCATCTCACAATTATCCAATTAGTTGTTGGAGGAAACTCCGGTGGAAGAAGGTCTTTAGAGTATAAGCAGGAAGGATAACACAGTAGTCTCCATCTCTGTTCCTATTAATGCAAGCTTTTTCCTCAAGCAATCACTTGCTGTGGTCTTGCTATTTGTTGTCTTAAGTAAGCAAACAGGCACTTATAGCTCTTGTCTTGGTGACACTTAGCCCTGGAAGTGAAAGTAAATCATAGGGATATATAAATTCTAAATGTTGAGCTATTTATTTATTTATTTATTTTTTCCTTTTTGTCTTTTTTACTGACCGGTAACGGGATCGCAACCCTCAGTGTCGCACCTGTACCGGGGACCGGCAACGGGATCGCGACCCTCGGTGTTGCGCCTGCACCGCGCTCAGCCAGTGAGCGGGAACCGGTCTCCACATGGGATCCGAACCCTCAGCGGGAGCGCCGCCGCGCTCCCAAGCGGCGCACTCTCCAGTGTGCCACCGAGCCGGCCTGTAAATGTTGAACTATTTAAAGCTAAAATTATACTTTAAAAATAGTCAGGTAACCAGTGTTAGGAGGTGATTGTATATCTTTGGTGTTCAATTAAAAGTGACCTAAGTGCCATAGATAACTGAATACACATTCAGTCACAGAATCCATTCTGCTAATATCACAGTGTTTACTGTGAGTGGGTCCTGAAGATATAACCATAGTCTGGTGTGCTTATTTTCTACACATATCTGGTAAGCATTGACTCATGCTTTTAACATTTTGAGAGAAACTTTAAAAGAACATTCTTAATTTCATTTTTGTCTTTTTTACTAACCGGTAACGGGATTGCAACCCTCGGTGTTGCGCCCACACCGTGCTCAGCCAGTGAGCGGGAACCGGTCTCCGCATGGGATCCGAACCCTCGGCGGGAGCGCCGCCGCGCTCCCAAGCGGCGCACTCTCCAGTGCGCCACTGGGTTGGCCCGAACCTTCTTAATTTCAGTTGGTGCCAGTGTTGAACAAATTTTTATTGTTAATAATAACATACTATAATGAGTTAGTAGTGTAGTTGGTCTGATTTTTTAATATATTTAAGAGGACTAAGTAATAAAGGCTAATTAACTTCCCTTTATTCCCAAAGGGAATTTCTCCTTTTTAAATATGTTTCTTCATGTACACTTCTAGATGTTTTTCATTTGTTTTGGGCTCCTTAAAGTCATTCCAGAAAATTCCTTTTTGCTGAAAATTTCCACTACCTAGTGGGGAAAGAAATGATCTCTTTTGTTAGAAAGAGAATATCTTTTTTTTTTTTTAATTTTATTTTGTCGATATACATTGTGGTTGATTATTGTTGCCCCTTAAGAAAGAAAATATCTTTTGATTAGAATTTGAAACACTTCAATAAACTTTTCTACCTTTTATGACCATATTCCCAATTTTAGTTAACGAAATTGTTTATGCATTCAAAACTATTTATCGAGTGCTAACTATATGCCTGGCACTGTTCTAGACTGTAGGGTTGGAGCTAACAACCAAAATAATAATTGGGACTGACCTTTGAAAGCTTTAAGAGAATATAATGTAATATGAAGTAGATGTTAATTTGTGTTTCAGTTAAAGTCATCTGTTATAATAATAATGGCTAACAGTTATTTGCCAGGCAAGACTATATATAGTACCTCTGAAGTAGGTGCTATTATCGTTTTGATATAACAGATGAGGAAACTGAGCCATAGAGAGGTTAAGTGACTTCCCCAAGGTGGCACAGCAGGTGTTAAGTGGCTGCTGGTCAGGATTTGAACCTGGCACAGCCTTGTTCTGGAGCCTGCACTGTCCCCCTGTGCCTCCCCAGGGCAATGACAGTTTAAGACAATGTCTCTTTGGACAGCATTACTTTGGACAGTAATTGCTGTTATCCCCTACATCAAGAGATTGTTGTGAGGGAGATCACTCTTAAAAGCATGCCTGGCACACAGTAAGCATCCCACCATGTTAGCCACGAACTCTTCCCTGTCCTCCTGCACCTGCTACTCCTTCTTTCCTTTCCTCCTCCCTGAACCCCTCCCCTCTTTTTATTATTAGGGATGAAAAGATCAAATAAATGTGTAAGAAACAAAGAAAATTTTAAAAGTCAATTCAGCTTCTTAATAGATATGAGATTGAGAAGTACTTAGTGAGTGAAAATCAGTTGCCCTCTGATTTTTTTCTCAGTGTGTTTTGAGGAATCCAACTTTACATTTTTACTTTGATTACAGATTAATATATTTGAGGGTTACAAATAGAGGTGGAAAATTTTTAACAAAATTTGCTTTGTTGATGCTAACTGATCCTTACAACCTATTAGAGATGATTCTGGTCCAACAGCACATGGCTTTTGACTTTTGAAGGTTTCCATATTATATTTAAATTTGAATGAAATTGGAGATGATATGTGAGTTGAGGCAGCTTGAAGCCTTGTGTGACTTTCCATAGAGTAGTTTGACTACAGACAACTTACCAGCAGAGTTGAATTTAATCTAAATACGGATTATAGAGAGGATCACATAGTTGGATGGAATTGAAACTGATATGTGTTGCTTATTCTTCCTACTAAAATGGCTGCCTCAAAAGCAAAGAGACCTTCACCTTGAATCTGTTTCTATTAACCGATTTCATTCTCTGTTTAGTGGGTGTATTTTTTATCTTTTTTTGTTGTGAAATATAACACATACCTATAAGTGCTCAAAACTAAATTCAACTCAGTGATTTTCCACAAAATACCATCTTATTCTAATAATTTTCTTGCTTTTCCTTACATATTACCACTTAAACATGTTCAGTTGGTGTGTGCTGGTTAAAGGGGCATAGAACCCACTGAATGCCCACTGGAGGAAGTAATCGCTTACATGGGTGCTTAGGGACACGGACTAGAATTAGCCATGAATTTCTGAAATTTGCATGCACTTTATCCATCTATTTTCTCATTTTGTTGATAGTAGAAAATTCAACGTGTGAGTCCCAAGGACAGCAGTTTATCATGTTTGGTCGTTTTTCACCTTCTTTTGCCAGAATTTGATAATTTCTGCCAAAATGAATGTTCTAGCAAAGATTCTTTTGGTTATTAGGAACAGAAATTATGTAAGTTAGCTCAACTAAAATGGGGAATGTGTTGTGCAAAATTCTTTTGTAATTCAAGGAGAGGAAAGGAAGCAATCCCTGTCCCCACCTGCTGACTGGAAAACTTAGAAATCGAGGTAGCTTCTAGAAACCAAGAAACCTGTTCCTCTCCCACCCTGGCATGTTCCCCACATGGTCATCTCTCCCTCATTTTCTCTACCATTCTCTGTGCGTATATTTGATTCTTTCTTTGGAAACTTTGATTCTTTCTTTGGCTTCCTCTGTGTTCTTGCAGCTTTTACCTGGTCCCCAGAAATACTCCTCAGCATTTAAGTGTATGTGACTTTCTAGTTCAAGTACCTACCACTAACTGATCCAGTAGTGTAATGTCCTAATTACAGTATGTTAGGATAAGAATCTTAATTATTTCAGCTCCTTTTTTTTTTTTTTTTCTCACTCAGTTCAAATGCTTTGCAGATCACCAGGAGGTTAGCTGTGGTGGGTGGTGACTTGTGGCAATGTGGCTTTTCTAAGGGTCTGAGGAAGGGCAGGTGATGATTGGAGTTCTGGTATTATAAATTTAGAAGGATGTTTTTCATTAAGCTCTGCCCTTCAAATATGGGACCAACACAGTGTGATGGATGAAGTAGGAAAAGAATTAGCTAATTCCTCCCAGAATAGATTACAGTGTTATGTCTAAGGTATTGACTACCACTGTAGGATAGAAAGAGAATGCCAAATTACATGGATCTTTTTCTGTGTTATGTAAGATATCAAGTACAGAGATGTTCAAATATTTTATTAACTTGATTACACCAAATGCCATCACAGTTTGATGTATATCAATATCATATTCCATATTATTACATAATGCAAAACTAGATTTGAAGAGCTACATTCAAAACATTATCAGTTGTAACAATCAAGTCTTTGAGAAAACTAAATCATAAACACAAAATATTTAAATATAATTGAGAATAAATAGGTTGGACTATCCACCTTACCCAAAAGAAAGATTATTTACCAAAAAAAGCTATGGCAGTGATCAAAATAGTATACACATAGTGCTGATATCAGCAGAATACAATGATTTTACCAGCCCAAGAATTAAGGTACTCTCATCTTGTGAGGTGGTCTCTATGGGAGGTTGCTAAGAGTAGATAATCTTGAACCTGAACAGACAGTGAGTGATAAATCGGTCCTAGGAAGATCAGGACCCAAAAGTTATTTGAATGATCTTTAAGAACATTTAATTTAATGTGATGAAGTATAACTGTCTCTTATTAGAAAACTGATACTGTTACCACTAAGGAGTGATATGTAATTTTAAAATTACTTAAACTCGTTAAATAGGCGATTTATTTTGGAACCTTCTTGTTCCAGCCTGGAAACGTGTATCTGAAAGTTCATTGGCTACAGGAGCCCTTCCCTGGCCTTGCTTGTGTGTGTGTGTGTGTGTACATGTATGTGTGCGCACTTCATTTTTGAGGGGAGGCGATGAATTAGGAGTTCTGAAGACCCAAATTCCATTCCTGATTCTGCTGTGATCTTGGGTAAATCATTTAACCTCTGAGCCTTGATGCTATATGCCTTACAGATGCAGGTGAAAGCATTTTACAGATTTCAAAATGTTATAAAACGTCAAGGTTATATCATTAATAACTACTGGGATTAAATTGGCTCATGAATAAAAGTAAATTATGTTGGAATAACTTCGATCCCCTCCACCTCAAAAAGTAGATAATTCTTCATGGTGCTGAAAGAATAAAGCTCCTAGAAAGCTAAGTTTTATTGGCTTTTTGTCATGTTGAATCACCACTGTACTAACTTCATTTCTATCTCTTTTTAATGCTGCATCTTAGTATACGCTCCATTCAGCATTCAATTAGCATGCCTGCTATGAGGTAAAGTATATTTTTACAAAATGTAGTTGGTCTTATACTTTCTTATTATTTAGATGTTTAACCTGAACTGTTCTGAAGAAGGGAACGAGAATTCTGTTCTAAACATTCTATTCTAAGCTGTGTGTTTAATACTGTAACCGTGTGCAGGTACTCTTCCTATGATGTTGGGATGGGTGCAAGAGATCCATTAAATGTTTGTGATTTTTTTTAAAAAAGAATTATTTTATTTTGTGATACTTTATGTTGTTTCCTATCTGAAGTCTGTTTACTTGACAAAGTGAGCACTCCTTGTCTAATAAACCTCTTTGCGTGGATGTAGGTGTCTCACCCCCTTGTCTACATTAGCTTTAGTTACACTCCCCTTTCCTTCCATCTTCCCATGTTCACCTCCGTCATCCCAGTGTGACATTTGGAGCCAGCTGTGATTTCATTCTATTATCTGCCTGCATCACTAAGCACTTGCAAGTCTTTATTACCTCACCTATCCTCTCCAGAGAGGCAGAGGATTAACGGTATATGCTTCGCTTAAATGTCAGTGTACGTTGGAATCATCTGGAAGGCTTGTTAAAACCCTGCTTGCTGGGCCCCACCCCTGGAGTTTCTGATTCTGTAGAGCTGGGACGCGACCTGAGAATTTGCATTACTGAGTTCCCCAGAGCTGCTGATGCGTCTGGTCTGGGGGCCACACTTCCAGAACCACTGTCTTGCACTATTCTGCCATCACCACAGTGGGAAGAAGGGAACCCCTCACTCCCTTCTTTGCCTTTTTCATCTTGGTAGCAGGAAGAATTTAAGGTGAGGTGGACAGGATAAAAGCTTTGGAAACCCATGTGTGAGGGACAAAGGCGCAGTGATCCTCAGTAAAGTGGATGAAAGTAAAGATGCCTGTGAGGGTTTCCCGCAGGCTCTCAGTGCCGAAGTAGGCAAAGCCAAGTTTCTGTGCTCCTCCCTTCCTTTCGGCGTCTCCTTTCCCTCTTTTATTATGCTTCTCTCTGGGAATTAGGATCTCTCATAAGGAATCTCATGTGGTCTGCTTGTCCTGCTTAAGTGATGTGGGTTCATGTAAGAATCCTGCCAGGCAAGATGTGAGTTGAAAGAGTTCTAGAGCATAGCACCTTAACCAAAATGAAACTGCTTTAATGGTGGCATTTTCCTGTACCATAAGTTGGTTGGGGAAGTGACAGAATTGATGTTTTAACAGTTCTGTTCCCTCTCCTCACAAATGTACCTGAATGCATCTGTATCGCTGTGTCTAAGAGTGGCTCTGCATGGAATCAGAAGCATACACATAGGAATATTAGTTTTTTTAAAAAAAGAAATTACTTTAGAAATTGATAATCTTACATAATATTTATTTGTATATATGCCTGCACACATACAATGCAGATAAAAATATCTGTTCTTTTGCTGATTGAGAATAATGGTGAAGATGAATACAGTCAATTAATGCTTTCAAAATTGTTGGGGTTTTTCAGTGTTTGTAATTTTACTATTGTTTTTCTTTACTCACTACAGAAACTCCCCTACTTTCAAATCCTTTGAAGAAAAGGTCGAAAACTTAAAGGCAAGTACAGAGATGAACAGGGTCTTTGTGATACATTGCTTGGGGCCTTAACTTTCTTTGATGTGGGTAAATTATTAATGTTAGTATTTCCTTCTAAAAATATTAAAGAACTTTAAGAACTTTACTCTTTATGTTATTAATGGACATTTAAGGTGTTATGTACTCTTTTAAGCAATATTTTTTGAGTGCATGTTGTAGCATGGCAGCATGCTAAATGCTGAAAGGAGAAATACAATTTAAAAAAGCAATAGTACTTTAGAAATTTGTGCTGCTTTTTACTTTATTCATTTCAAATACTTTTATAATTGGAAAGAATTTGATGTAACTCTATTGTAGATAGTTAACAATATAGAAAAGCACAAAAATAAAAAAATTGGTCCTACCACTCAGAGACAGTGATATATGTATGTAGTAGGACTCTGCTGTTAAACTTTAAAAAAGAATTCACCATACACCATAAACATTTTCCTGTGTCATTAAATATTCTTCAGTATTATGTTTAGTGGCTGCTTGTATATGCCTTATAATGGATATTGTTTGCTTAATTATCAATTATTGGATACTTTTATGATTATAATGATGGCGTGATGATTATCATTGATTCATTTAAAAAAATTTTTTTTATTTCATTGGAGGTGAGCATTTTCCCATAATGATTTGGTTTATTGATTTGTAAATTGTGTCGTCTTCAAGATTATATTCAAAACTACAAAATCATAAACAGGATCACAGGTGATCTCAGAAGTCATCTAGTTTCCATCCACTGCCTCTGTACTCTCTCTGTAGAGTTTATACGAAGCCCATATGTTCATTTCTTCCTAACCTAAGACTAATAATTATAGGGATATGTTTTTAGGATTAAAACTTAATATCTTAAATATTTTTATGTAAATCAGCTTAAAAACCAATATTCACTTTAGTCTTTCAGAAACATTAACTGAGTACTTATTTTAAAATGAGTCTTTTAAAAATTACACAAGCAAGGTACCTTTACTGAAAGAAAATCAAACACTGTACAGTGATCTGGATCTTTTTTCTTGCACATACAGACAGTAATACACACCTTTTTTATTTGTACACTAATATACGAATGTTTTTCAAAAAGGAATCATACTATACATGCTCCTATAACTTGTTCATTCAACCTTCACTGGCAGCTCCTCTGTGAACCCATGGGTGCAGGGATCCATTCTTTTTGCTCAATGAACAAGGACTAGAACAGTCCTTGGCACATTGCTCAGTAAACGTTTGATGATTAACAAATATATCATAGTCATTCTTCTAGGTCACTTCGAAACCTGCTTTATTCTTCTTAACGACAAGTCGTATGTTTGAAAACACACTGTACATTGCAGGAAATCAAGGCTTATTACAATTCAGTTCTCAATATTGTTAGGACTATTATAGTCTCTCCTTGAAATCTGCCCTAAGCGTTAATTTTTGATATGGCTAGTTGGAAAAAATGTTCTTTTGACATTGAAGATGAGAAATTTTCAGGTCATGTACCATATACTATCCTCCTGGGTATACTCATATTTAGACTATATAAACTGTGATGAAATTTGCTTTTAAAATATGACTAGCACCACTCAGATAAAAAATATATGCAATTTAAGAAATGTATAGTGTTTGTTAAACAGATATCCCCAATGGGAAATCTGTAAAATATAGTTGTGTGCTTAGGATATAATTTTGCTAAATTACATTTATATTCAGTTAAACATATAGGATCTACGTATACTACATTACATTTTGGGGTTTTAAAAAACAATTTTAATTTAAACTTTAATTTTTAATTTAAAAATATTGATAACATTTAAATTTTTTTATTGAAACATAGTTGAATGTACATATCTCTGGGATAGAGAGTCGAATATCAATACCAGAGTGCAATGTGTGATGCTCAAATCAGGGTAATTAGTATTTTCAAAATTATATAGTGTAATTGTTTTTCATGGCCTTTTATTCCCTCCCCCTCCCCCTTTTCCACCTCTGGTAACTTCAGTTCTGTTCTCTCCTTTTGAAAGTTCAATGTATTATTGTGGTTATTGTATCTTTCTTTCTTTTTAAAAATTTATTTCTTTATTTTTTAGCTCCCACTTATTAGTAAGGACATGCTGTAATTCTCTTTCTGTGCCTGGCTTATTTCACTTAACATAATTTTCTCTAAGTTCATCTGTGTTACTGTGAATGGCAAGATTTCATTCTTTTTTATGGCAGAGTAGTATTCTGTTGTGTAAATATACCAGATTTTCCTTACCCAGTCATCCAATGATGGACATTTAGGTTGGTTCCAACTCTTGGCTATTGTAAATAGAGCTGTGATAGACATGGGAGTATCTATGGGAGACAAGGGAGCAGGTATCCCATAAACATGATAATTTCCATTCCTTTGGGTTTATACTCAACAGTGGGATTATTGGATCTTATGTCAGTTCTATCTGTAGTTGTTTGAGGAAGCTCCATACTGTTTTCCATGATGGCTGCACCAATTTACAGTCCCACTAACAGTGTAGGAGGGTCCGCCTTTCTCTGCATCCTTGCCAGCATGTGTTATTCTCTGTCTTTTAGATCATAGCCAGTCTAACTGGGGTAAGATGATATCTCAGTGTGGTTTTGATTTACATTTCCCTGATGCTGAGTGATGTTGAACAGTTTTTCATGTGTCTGTTAGCCATTTGTATATTTTCCTTTGAGAAATGCCTATTCAGCTCCTTTGACCATTTTTTAATTGGGTTGTTTCTTTACTGAAGTTGTTTGAGTTCCTTGTATATTCTGGATATTAATTCTTTATTGGATACATAGTCTGCAAATATTTTCTCCCACTCTGTAGGTTGTCTTTTTACTGTTAACTGTTTCATTTGCTATGCAGAAGCCTTTTAGTTTGATATAGTCCCATTTGTTTATTTTTCCTTTGGTTGCCTGTACTTTTGAGATCATATTCATAAAGTCTTTGCCCAGTTCTACTTACTGAAGTGTTTCCCATATTTTTTTTTAGGAGTTTTACAGTTTCACATCTTATGTTTAAGTCTTTAGTCCATTTTGAGTTGATTTTGGTGTATTACGAGAGGTACAGGTCTAGTTTCATTCTTCTACATATGGATGTCCAGTTTTCCCAACATCATTTATTGAAGAGGCAATCTTTTCCTCATTGTATGTTCTTGGTGCCTTTGTTGAAGGTTAGTTGGCTGTAAGTATGTGGGTTGGTTTCTGGGTTCTCTGTTCTGTTCCTCTGGTCTGAGTATCTGTTTTTATGCCAGTAACATGCTGTTTTGATTACTATAGCTTTGTAGTATAATTTGAAGTTAGGTAGTGTTATGCCTTTGGCTTTATTCTTTTTTTGCTCAGGATTGCCTTGGCTAGTCAGGGTCTTTTGTTGTTCTGTATGAACATTAGGGTTGTTTTTTCTATTTCTGTGAAGAATGTCATTGGTATTTTGATGGGGATTGCATTAAATCTGTAGATCGCTTTGGGTGTTATGGACATTTTCAAAATGTTAATTCTTCCAGTCCAAGAGCATGGAATAATGTCTTTCCATCTTTTGTGTCCTCTTCAATTTCTTTCAACAGTGATTTGTAGTTCTCATTGTAGAGATCTTTCACCTCTGTAAAATTGATTACTAGGTACCTTATCATATTGTAAATGGGCTTGCTTTCTTGATTTCTTTTTCTGCTAGTTTGTTGTTGGAGTATAGAAACGCTACTGATTTTTGCGTGTTGATTTTGTATCCAGCAAATTTACTCTAAGAGTTTTTTTGTAGAGTCTTTAGGCTTTTCTGTATATAGGATCACTACATTAGATTTTGGATTGATTTATTTATCTGTAATTATTGAGCATTTGCTATGTGCCAGGCAATGAGTATTGTGCACTGGAGATACCATGGTGAGTAGGTAGATGTAGATCCTTTCTGCAAGATGTTTAGTCAGTTAACGGTCAATGAAAATAAAATGAGGTCAGGGCTATGGCAGAGAAGGTTAGGGTTCAATGAGGACAAGTAGCAGGAACCCTCCCTGACAGGAGGGAATGTCAGGGAAGGCCTCTCAGAATGCAGTAATATAAGTGGAGGCGTTTAGACTGAAGGGAATGTTTGACCCTTTGGGGCTTTTTTGAGGAACACTAAGAACTTCACTGTGCTACAGGGCATTGAGTAGGGGGAGAAGCTACAGAGATGGGCAGGCCACATTAAAGAATTTGGACTTATGGCAATGGGAAGCCATTGAAGGATTTTAAACAGCCCAAATGGTTGTGCATTTTAGAAAGATCACTGGCTTCCCTGTACCTCTATGGGGAGAAAGATTGAGACAGGCAGATTAGTTGGGAGGAGGGAGTTGTAATCCAGGCCAAAGATGATGGTGAAGTGAAATAAGGTAGTGCAGGGGGACAAAGTCTAGAGATATTTAGAAATTAGAAATGGCAGGAAAAAAAAAAAGAAATTAGAAGTGACAGAAACAAAAGTGATTGATTGGATGAGGAACAAGATGGGGGAGGAATCAAGGACAACTGCCAGGACTCTGGCCGGGGCAACTAGGTAGTTGCTACTGCCATGTAAAGTAATAAAAAGAGAAGGGGCCAGTTGTGGGAGAAGGAGTTTGGTTTTAGACTTAGTGAACTGTAAGGTGCCCTAACATTTTCTTATGATTAAGTAATGTGTTTTAATAAATAAACAATGGATATAAATTATGCAAGTTTCTCAAATAATTCAAACATTTGGATGGGAGACCAAAAAGAATGAAAGAGAAAATTTCAACTAATTCCAATTGTTAACAAGTCTCTGGCCAGTCAGTTAAGATTGAGTCAAGTTCAGACCCTCTATTAGCTTTGTGCATCCTTGGTCACTGACTGGTTTCTTAATTTTAACGGCCCTGTTGGTCAGTCGTGAGATGTAACACAGTGAGATGGTACATCAGCATTGAAAGGGATGAAGTGACATGTTACATATAAGGGTTTTGAAAAGCATAAAGTATTATACAAATGTAAGGCAGATATAGTCTTTCAAACAAATGTTTATTGACAGAATTTCAGGTCAAATAGGTTGGAGTAGTTCTTCACAAACTGTAATGCACACATGAGTCACCTGGAGATTTTGTTAAATTGTAGACTTCAGTTCTGTAGTTGGGGTTGAGTGGGTGAGGAGGTATCTGAGATTCTGCATTTTTAATAAGCTCCCGGGTGATCTGTAGGTCCTTGGATCACATTTTAAGTAATAAAGGGTTAGAAAGATTACACTGTAACTGGGAAAAATACATGTATTTCTTTCCTTTGTTGTACTCAATAATATTTCTTGAAAGAGTGTAGCTGAATGAACAATTTGATGCAGTACAAAATGTTATCCAAGTATAAAAAGAGTTCAATAGATATTTTAGAATAATAGGTCTCACAGAGTTCTTTAGGTAAATTTCCCTGTGAAGAACAATTAGTAGATATGGGAGTAAAAGGAGGAGCAGAATTTACCAATCTGAATATTTCAGCAAGGAAGAATGTGTAAGTTTTACTCTTAAACCACAATGGAACATTACAACAGTACCAAATTCCATACATGTATAATTACTGAGCTATTGGGTTCCTGATTTGTTTTTGAAGATAAAATTAGAGTTACTTTATGCAGAGTCAGCTAATTTTACATTTCATGATGTCTTCCTTTTTTTTGAACTTTTTTTAAAGTCTAAAGTAGGGGGAACCAAGCCTGCTGGCGGTGATTTTGGAGAAGTCTTGAATTCAGCTGCAAATGCAAGTGCCACCTCCACGGAGCCTCTTCCAGAACAGACAAAGGAGAGCCTGTGAGATTCCTACCTTTGTTCTGCTACCCACTGCCAGATGCTGCAAGCAAGATCCAAGCACATCATGTCAACACTCATTGCCGTGAATTTCTACCAGATGTGCTTTTATTTAGCTTTACATATTCCTTTGACCAAGTAGTTTGTGGGTTAAACAAAGTGAAAATATCTTCACCTCTCTCTTCCTGGGGAAACACCCTCTAATGTGCACTTAAGGCCCTTTATTTAGGATACACTATTATAAAAATACTTGTAGTACCTGGGGACACTCACTAGAATGATCTCATAAGAAGCTGCAGTTTATCATAGTTGCTTTCCTACTTTATGAAATTGCTCTGGATCTGGGATACCAGTTTGATCTTTTCTTTTTTCTTCTTTGAATCTCTGTATGTTTGATTCCTAACTAAAATTGTTCTTTTAAATTTTCTGAGTCCTGTTTATTAAAAGTTTTGGTATCATTTTCTTTACCTTCAAGGCAAGAAGTGCCAGCTACAAAAAGATATTTTTAAATAAACATTGTTTTGGTTTAAGGTACATATCTTGTGTATATGAAAACACCAGATTAAAGTAAGCAGCTCTATATACAGTTTGTTATGGTATTGTAAGTGACACTATGTACGGTAATTCAAACTATTAGGTGACTTGAGAGTGGTACTCCCCACAACTTTATCACCATTTGTGACAGTAACCATTTCAGTGTGTTGGTCATTATGCCACTTACATCAACTTATTTTTTACCAGATTAAAATTTTAATCTCAGAGTAAATTGACAAAATAACATTCTGAATCAAGTAGATTGTATTATCAGTAGGTTGAAATGTGGGCACTTTCATCAGTGTTCCAATTCAAAAGCCTGAAAGTTTTGTAGGTCTAGATAGCTGTAA